ACTCATATGTGTGCTTACGGATGAATTAATAAAAGATTGAATAAAGATTACATGCCATCTGTAAAAAGGCAAATTTGTTTGACAGATTGTTTATTTCAAAAGCACCAACAGAACTTTTTCTTGCCCTTTATTTTCTTGTTTTCTTTTAGACACAGATTTTTTGGCTGGGCCGCAGCAAAGCAAGGCCAGCCCTGTAAACATTAAAGTCTGTCACCGAGTCCCCGTGTGAGTGATGAAGTTACTGAGTAATGAAGTTACACCATTGGCTGTTACAGCTTTGGTGTTCCCCCATTATTTCTCCAAATTTACTTAAAAGCAATTGCCAGTGTTTCCGCTGAACGCAGGTTCGCACACGATCAGTTATCTGATCCACTTCCTCAATACATACAAGGTTGTTGTTGCTGCGCAATCCTATATTTGAAGGGTTTGATGCATAGTCTTTGTTATGAGGTCTGGATACTGCTCTGTCCTGTGCTCATACGGCAGCCCACTGCAGGATAATTGGGACCACTAAAGAAAATTGCAGATGAACGTCAAGTTTCCATGAATTCACATTTTAGATGCAGCACCAAAGACTATCCTCTTAACAATTTAGCCACACAGTCCATATAGGCTACCAGGTTTCCATCCAGTCTTGTTAGTTTATCTCTTATGTGGAGTGTTAGATACCAGCAATGACTCTATAGTAACAGATTAAAAACTATGCCAGCCTTCTTTCTGTTTGGATGTGATAAGATGCATCTTCAGCTCTGCTCACTCACATAGTTTAACACTGCAGCACCCTGGAAGCTCATTGTGTTCGACAAAGATTCTGATGAAAACACAGAGATCGAGGTATTGACTGAAGCTAATATTGTTCTCCTTTGAAACCTTTATTCTGGAGATCTGTTGCATTCTGAGTGCAGTTGTGGCCGTGCAAGGTGGTCTGTTCATTACAATGGGGTGATTGAAAAGACAGTGGCTAGAGGAGAGAGATGACCCTCTCTCCTCTAGTCCTCTCATTTTGATTTTACTCAGGAAATATTTTACTGGAACAGTTGGAGGGAGAAAAGAAACGCTGGAGGGTGAACGACTGAGATTTGAAAGAGCACTTGGAGGACAGTCTTACATTCTGTGCATTGTTAAGAGCTTTCCTTTAATAACCTGGATTAAAAAAACAAAAACAGACATCCTCTGTTCTCTCAATACAATCCTCAAAATGGAGCAGCACAATGTTTAGATGGCATCCTCTGATAATGTTTCTGGTGCAGGAGTGTGCTTGGTCAGCCAAATCCCCGGTCCCACAAATGTGTCTGCTGAGGCAGAGATTCCAACTAGGGGTTACAATAAGCCTGTTCTCATTACAGTTCAGAGGAACATGCATGCCACACACACACACACACACACACACAAAGAGTGAGACAGTGAGAAAGAAGTCCCCCCGGGCATTTGGCTCTAGCGCTGGTGAAGATAAGGTAGTGTGATGTCTCCTGACATGGCCAATGATTCATAATTGAGGCAGGACAGCTGTTGCTGGCTGCACTGACAGGTCCCAGGGTGGATGACAGATGATAGGGCCCTCTGGGGCTATCAGTCCAACTGCTCCCTGTTCACTATCTGCTCACCTGTCCTTCATGAGCATCCCTGGTGTATGTATACCAGGAGGTCACGGTCCTACAATCTGTTTGACCTCACTGGATATGATTTTAAGTTGATGCGATATCAGTGTACGCACAAACAATTAATACCAACAACAAAATTGTCAAAAAATGATCTTTTAAATCACTAAGAGAGCAACTACTTGCACATAAACATGAAACATCCTCTTCATTGAAAACAAAGAAGGGAAGGAAGATCCAAGGTGCTTAATAGAGAACATTTTTAATGAAATTGAATTTAAATGAAAACAAATAGATACAGACAAAATAAAACCTGTAATCTATTGTAATAATATTAATGATTAAGGGGACTCAGACACCATCAGATGTAAGATTAAATATTCAGTCTTTGTCATGATAGGACAAAGTGAGTAAATTGTAATTAAGATGTATCCTTTCTAATCTCAATGGGTGTTCCGATGTCCGGGGACATTATCTGCAAAGGCCTCATCCTTGATTACTCGCTGAGGCTAGGAATCCCATCCATTGATCGAACGCAACACCAAGGCATGCAAGGAGTCAGGGAATCACAGACTGTATGTATGTGAGGCAAATCAATTTAATACTTTCAAACTCAGCAGTACAATCGACAATCAATGCAGAACAGAGAGCAAACATGAGTTGGCTCTTGGAGGAGTGATGTGGTTATACGTTTTGATGCCAGTTATAATATAAGCAATGAGTCAGTGGAGGAAGCTCTGACAGATACCAACATAAAATACATGACAGCAGTTCAGGCAGTAAAACATTTACAACTTTTTATCAGTAGGAGACAGTCATTTAAAAAAAAAAAAAAAAATTACGATTGGACAAAAATAACACTGTTTTTAGCAATCTGCTCAACATGTTTTGACAGGCAGCCCAGTTTGTAGTTGGTATGGCTGGTAGATATTGCTTGTCTAATTAGCTCAGACTTGTCATTACATTTTACAACAATTCCATTTTGTGAAATGTTGGGAATACCATCCTTTGATGGAAGGCGACAAGATTGATTCTAGACTTCGATCACCAGCAGGCGGGGGGGGGGGGGGGATAAGAGGTTTTCCACCATTTTCACAGAGGGCTATAACAAGAGGGACATTTGATTTCCAGCCCGATTTTTTTCTTTTTTTGAGAGATGCTTGACTGAAATATTTATGAACCGTGGTGGAACATCAGCCATCTCTCATTGTGTCACCAGCTTTACACAATGGCGGAGGCCACAGAAACATATTACTGAATAATTAAAGAAATAATAGGCTCTAATCTTTTAACTTTCTGAATCCCCAGTAAATACAACTTGACTAGAAGAAAACAAATATTCATTCTTGTTTAAAGTAACAAAGTACAACCTTTTCCTTTTAGCTATATTCTACAAGACTGCAATGCAAACAATCAATCACGGATATCATTTTAGTTGAGACTCCATTGTTGTCTAAATTTGTCAATCGTGTTTAACGCGTAGTTAGCAAAATTATCTTCGGCATCATCTCGTTCCTTGAATATAAGAGTATACATGTTACATCGAAAGAGAAAGAATGTATTGTACTGTGGGGTGAACTATGAAATTATAAAATGAGCAAGTAGCTGAAGTAACCCGATTTTCCCAACAGCCAAGCTCTCCATATCAACTCAGAGACACAAAGGCAGAAGTGGGGGAAAAAAGAACTGAGCCAAAGGCTTTGTCATTGCCGTTGCCCTTGAGAAACAGGGATTCTAAAAGCATGTGGCATTTCTTTATTACTCACTCTGACACGATTGTTTAAAGCTCCTGCAACAATTTTTATATTAAAAACACACAGAGGTGATTCTGTAACACACACACACACACACCTACACACACACATATCTGCTATTTTGATCTAGTGTTTGCGCTCCGTGTTTTCAGTTGGTCTGAAAACCTCCAGAGTGTTTAATTCTGGTTGTGATAAAAATCAAATCAATCAAAGCGGCTGACCTCATGGATCATTCAGGAAGAAGTCACCTCTAAGCTCACTCTCAGAGTGTCCATTAGCCTCTCTGCGCTCATTGTCAGCTCTACTTCGACTGAGTGACAGTTAGCCAACCTGGCCAAATTCATTTCGCTGCCGCCATCGTGCGACGTGCTCATCCTGACCACTGTCTCAGCTTTTCCAGGCTGTTGCACTAACACTGCTGCACACATATTACCTCAGGGACATCGGCCTATGGAGGGCAACCTTTTTTCTGCCTCATGGCAGACCTGAGCCCACTACCCATGACAGCTTTAGCTTTCGAAACATGTTGTGATTCTCACTTAGAGCTTGAAGTAGATGGTTGAATTAGCTTTTATGGTGGACTTGTCATTTTTGGATCTTGTTTGCAACATGGTTTAAAATTGGGCTCTGAGCAGTGATATTTTGTATTCATATTTTTTTATCTCCTCTTTTTTATTAGTACCGGCCAATGCACAAAACATTTAGCTGAATTGAATAAGCTTGAATGGAGAATTTCAAATGATTTGAACTTGATTTAAATTGATTCAAACCTGAATTGGCTTTAATAAGTCTGTTAAAACAGATATGCAAACAGAAATGAAGACTTTTTGCCTTCTCTGTGCACCTTGGAAGTAGGTGAAGTCAGTAATCCCTCTTCTGCAAACACAAGTGAAAGTCTTTTTTTCTTTTTTTTTATTTTACGGAATAATGACCATGACCTGCTGTTGGATTAGCATGCCTCTTTTATAGTTCTGCTGGGGAATGAATCAAGATGTTGCTCCAAAAATGTGTCAGTGCTTCATTATCCAGACAGTTTAACTACATGCAATCCTCCCGAGGTTCCTTCACCAGATTTAGCTGCAGATGCTGTTCAAACCTGTTAAAGACATAAAGCACGGCTGTCAGAGTGGCTTACAGACACAAGGCAAACACTGAAAGAGGATGAGTCAATCATGCAACAAACCATGAGTGGAATGACCCAGACAGATTCAAGAATTATTCAAAAAAAGGTGTCTATAACCCGGGCGCAGGTTAACGAAGAAATGACTAAATCAAACAGACCCCCGTGCGACTGTGTTTGTAGACAACTGAGCAAAGTAACGCAGCAGGTGACCCATTTTTCAGAGCAACATCATTAGACTGAACTTGGCTTTAAATGGAAACACAACAGCGGGGGATGCTGAATTAAGATCCCATCTGGTGTGAACTGAGACCTCATAAGTCAACACTTAGCATGCAATTTGATTTTCTGTGTTGGAGTTAAAAGTTTATGAATCTATTGTTTTTTTTTCCAGAGTGGATGGAAATAAATGTGCTTCAAATACAATGCCCTGTGTTACTCTACAAAGACCCTTTGCAGTGAGATGCACAGACGTGCAGCAATGAAGGCTGGTGTGTAATCATTTGTTATGGTCTCTTTTTTCTTTAGGTGCTAAATGTGAGTGCTTTGGAGGGGGAGCAGGTGACAGTGGAGGACACGGGTGGCCGGGAACCCTTCATCCTTGCCAATGAGTCAGTCTTAATGAGGGGCCTCGTACTGCGCAGCTGGAGCAATCAGATCTCCATCCGATTTCGTAGTGACCAACAGCACAACTCCGGATTTGTCCTGCTGCATTACCAAGGTGAGCCAGTACCATAGCTATGTTGTCACTTTATTCAAGCTGTGTCCAACTACATACTGATCAGCTTAGCCCTGCTCACAATGGATTCACATTAACTATGCGTCATATTGGGAAAACAGCTCTCAGTCAGTATTATTTCGCAGTACTTGTTGCATTTGGTCGTACCACTTTTGATCAATGACCCATGGATGTGTACTGGCTTTTCCAATACTTATCAGTCAGAATTCTATGGCATGAGGGAGGATAGCTTGCCATTGGAATTAACACATTCAATAGTTTTGTGAATGAATTTAATTTCATTGGGCTTTGCAGAGATTAAAACCAGAGAGACAGAGCGTCACTCTAAAAACCACTGGAGGGAAAAACAATCAGCACCACAATTTGCTACCAAGGGCTGAAAGCTGCCTGTAGCTAGTAAAAAAACTTTGGATTTCATCATGCAAAAGGATTATTTTAGCACCTTACACCAGGGGTGCAGTTGACCTAAATTGATAATGATTAAAATGATGAAGTTAGCCATCAGCAAGCTACTGTAGTTAGCTAAGGCACTTGCGTACTGCATAGCTTTCTGATTTATCCACATCATACCACATGATGCATACTGTCAAAATAGTTTCAGCTCAACTTGCAGAAATATAGTTAGCCTAAAACTGACATTTGGACAAAATGCTTGCTGTACAGGTGGATCCCCTCAGTTTCCCCATTCTTCCTGCCGATGCCTCACGTCTCAGTGCCTGTATCCTCCGTCTTTTGGTTCGGCAGCTTCTAACTTAGTTTGGGTTTCTTTACCCTGTCGGTAGTGTCTCCCACCACAGAGCAGCTTTAATGCATTTGCTAGCACTTTCACGCATTACAAAGTCAATGGAGAGTGATGAATTGTTGTCCTCCGGTGTGGGTGGGACTTAATTGCGCTCTGTCTCTGTGCAGAATGAATTATTAAATGTGATCAAATAGTAACTACATAAGAGGGTTACGTCGGCCACAAAACCTGTCAGCAGATAGTTATTGTATGTTGTCGGTGAATATGATGGCCCATAAATTCCTCCCTTTCTCTCGCTTATTTTGTGCGCGACATTGATCTTCCATGTCCGCAACAATGTCTGTTTATCTTAGCAATCACACAAAGTGGCCAGCAATTACATGCCCCATCGATTTGAGTTGATGGTGGAAGCTGGTGGACAAAACATTCATTCCACCACATTACTGTGGCACTTTCATCAGCTGGAAAATGAAAGCGCCCATCAAAACGGTGGCGCTGACGTGAGATAAATCAGCCCGTCGCTGTTTGATGTGTGAATATTGCGGTGTGTGGTCAGGCTGAATGACGACAGCGAGGGGGTCAGCGCAGATCATACAGGGTTCTGCATTGATGGGGACAGATTGTGACAAACAGTTGAATTTCAGTATAAATCCTATACAGTAGTGTGGTACAATATTTTCCAGGATATTGTGTGCCGTCCACACCAGTCATGTGTTTGTTAATCAGTTAAATAAAATATATAATGATCAAAGCTGAAATCATCTATAGGCTACCCTGGATTGCATTTTAGTGAAACTGAGGACGACCGGAGTGGAGATTTATTTTGTTTTTTATGATGAATATAGTCAAAGTATTGCATATGATTTCAAATGTTTGCCCCTGGAATGCCAGCCCTCAAAAACACACTCCATTAAAAACACAGCGGGTGAAACGCAGAGTTACAAAACGAATTAGAAGATGCACATGTCAAACATGTCTAAATTGCTGTACTAAATGTATTGCATGCAACTAATTTGCTGTTCTATTTTCTTGTAATTTAAATAAATCTTGGATGATAAAAAGTGGTCAGGACATCCATAAGTAAAAGCCAGAAAATGGTAATACCTGCACCTTGATACAGAAAGGCCAGGGAGTCATTTGTTGTCCAGGTTCTTTGTGTTCTATATCATAACCCCTCTGTGATTTCAACTAGGATAAGACTCGTACATGGACAATCATGTGCATGCAAACCGACACCAATTGACAGTTGACCATATCAAGAAATGAAGCTTGCGTTTCATTAAATGATTGGACTTTGAAAGGATCAATTCTCTCAGGGGATGTCTGGCTTAGGGCACCAACATACTCCTCTCAATATTTTATTTCAAAATAACTTAACTTTGATACAAAGAGAGCTTCATCTTAACATAAACCTTTTAATTGTTATATTTTGTCAGGGTGACAACAGGTGACATATTATTTAGACAAAAGTGCAACAGGAAATATACAAGCATATCATACGACGCGTTAAACAGAATATGGTACAGATTTATAGTAGTTTTTGTTTGTGCGAGTATTTTAAGTGTATACTATGCAGGTATGTCAAGGAAGAGAAGGAGAGAGAAAAATAAATAAATAAGTAAATTAATCAATTAATAGAAAGAGGTTCACTAGTCCCTAAGGACGCATGAAGTCAACTTAACACAGCACCTCTAAATAATTTCAGATAGATCCTGTTGTGTCTGGTGCTACTGTATTCCTCACCACTTAATGATATCAATTCTTATGACCCTATAAAACCGTTTATAACACTTTCTCACAGACATATTTCTGTATTGTAATTGTTGCAATAGTGGCATATAAAAACCCTGCACTCAGATGTGTGGCGGTAGTCTTCCTCCAATAAACCCCTCTGCTTTGGAATTTCGATGGGACAAATTTAGTTACTCTGATGAGAAAAAATGCCGTGATCCGATTTCTAGAAGAAGAGGAGACATATTGGAGGGGAAAAAGATATTTCAATTTGTGTTCCTCTCCTTGATTAGCAGAGTTTCACCTTGTCCTTTTATAATGGGCTTTGAGAAATGTGATTGGACAAGCGTGAAGAAGGAGACAGAACTGTGGAGAGATGGATCTCGGCTCAGGGTAATTAATATCTGCTACAGCGCTGGCTTTGCCTGCGATGACAGACTGATGGATGCTTCTATAACATCAGCAGTGAGCCCGACACTTGGAACATGATTATAGGCGTGTTTTACCATTTAGATGTATAGAGTGAGACGTAGGGGTGTGGGACATGAGGAGAACATCTTCATCTTTATCTTTTCCCTTAATACACACGCATATACATGTGTCCTCCTATACATGGAACACATTCCGTTTTATTTTGCAGGAAATGATATTCTTGCACTGCATTAGACAAATTACATTCTTACTACATTTGTAGTAAGAATTAATTGCAATTTAAAAATTTTACATACACGATACTTCTTCCTAAAGTGTTAGCACCCGAATGAGCACACTAAATAAATTCAGAACATGGAAAATAAATCACTGCCATTCTTGCGAAAGCATAACGATGGGTTAATTAGAGTGCTGGCATGCAAAAGTATTCTTTGGCAACAAGAAGAATTCTACCAGTAAATGCTATATTTTGAATTTTTGACACAAAAGGGTTCAAGTAATCCAGTCATTTATTTAAAAAAGGTTTGTTTTTATATGCATGAGCATTGTGGATACTATTACATGTAACTCTGCATATGCAAATTTAATTCATTCACCACAACCTCTTTGTTTTTTAGTTTTTGAAATGATTGCCATCATATTTGACCTCCGGACATCTACAGGGGAGCTTGAATTGTCAATTCAGGATTTTAGTATATAGATAATAATAATCGATGGCATTGCCAATGCTTTACAGGAATTATCGGCCAGAGGACTTCTACCACTGGCAGTGATGCACCAATTTGCCACAACTTCTCAGTAGCATTGATGAGATGCCTCTGGTCCAAAGTTATATCTCTTTAAAAGCCTTTATTGAGTAAATGACCATTAAAATCGAGTTTTTAACCCAACCATATAAATACCAATAGACCATATCACGGCAGAACTATGCCGTCTGGCTTTCTACAACTGAATCACTTTCCCAGAGACAACACTATCGATCTTTCTGTAAAAGGTAATGCTTTGGGGCACAGCCAGGACATGAGGCTTAGATACAGTGAGTCACACTCTCCCACAAGTCACCTGCTAATTGCAGGACTGCGACATAAAAACAACAACAAGTACTGACTAGAGATGACTACTCGTCAGCACAGGATTTTTTCTCCTCGGAAACGTTTTACTCTCGAAATGTTCATGTAATACATTGAGGATAATATTCTCCAAATACACTGTCATTAAATATAACAATCGACACTGCATTCATTGTTTGTGTTTGGTTTTCTGTCACCCTGTTTCATTATCTCCTGGCCTCACCTTGCCAAGTTTTATGTCATTCCAGCTCTCTACCTTAGGGGATTCAGGGGACACGTGAAATATAACATTATTAGGCCGAAATTGAAAAGCATTTTATTTGTCTGCCTAAATGCGGTGGATAACTGAGTTTCACTGGCTTCCTCACCTCATCCATTGTGCCCTAGTCAACCATATTTGTCCATTATTGGTTGAGGAGTAGCATTCCCGATTGGCAAATGAAAATTGTTCATGCAGCAGAATAAGGCTCATTAATGGGAGGAGTGTGTGAGTGAATGCAGGAGTCGCACCAATTGTTTACTTCCTTTAAATGATTTCCTGTGCAACGTTCGACTGAGGGCTGAAGAAACCGTAACCAATTATTGAATCTTAAGTACAGATTCAGGGTTCCATATTTGTTGACAAAAAAAATACTTGAATTGCAGAAAGGTGAGAAAGGGCAGGAAGCAATCTCGACAGAAATACTTTATATTCAAAGAAGCCAGGACAAATCCATCGCTCATGCACAGATAAGAGGGGGAGAAAGAAAGAGACCACGACAGGATGTGTTCCTCTTGAACTCTTGTGAATAAGCACTGAGAAATGACAAAAAAATAAAAGGGAAAAAAAACCACAAAAAACATTTAACTCATGTTCAGATGCCTGATGATTATGTATTGGTTACGACAAGCTACACATAAAAAACTACTTCCTAACTCCAAACTGTGCCATTTAAATCCCAGAGGCTTTAAGACAGTTTTTTCCTGGTTCTTTTTCTTTCATAGACACTACTTTAAAACAATATTAAAGTAGAGACCATCCAGCGATGGGATCAAACCAGCTTCGACGACACATAAGACAGCGGAATAAAGTGAGGGGGCCAATGGCCTCCTCCCCACTACTTCCGGCGCCCTTGCTCTGACCACACCCATCTTCGAACTTGACATTTCATTTTAATCTCAACTACACACCCGTGAAGCTACAGTAGGTGTCTCCAGGACCACATTTTTACCATGATGACACACACACACACACACACACACACTGGGGAAAACAATACCAGCTTTGCTGTTGTGGCAAGTACTTATAAAAGATGTTTGTCAGACGGCGTTTGTCAGTAATGTCTCCTTATTTTTTACCTGTGATGCCTTCCTTCATCTAAAACCGTGTAATTTTGAGAGAAACATGGGAACGCAGTGGGGTGATGGATTGTTTCCACCACAAAGTTTTTCCACCAGCATTGTATCATTTTTCAATCGCAAATACTGGCTTTTAAAACAGTTCTCGTGATTCAGAAAACATACTCTCTTTGCTGAAATTTGATCAGAATTGCTAGTCCACACAGTGAAACTGAAAGGTTTACATGCATATCACCATTTTGACCATTTCCTCCCCTCGACAAGGAAACAATAACTAAAGACGCATCTGTTTCCCGTGGTCCTACAGTACCATCAGCTAATCTACCTGGCTGTCTGCGCCGTGGATCTATTATTTGTAATGGCAAAACAATCAGACTTTATGGCCCAGCACCACATATCCTGGAATGGGGGCTGCACGAATTTTAATACTTCAGGAATTGGCTCCACATTTTTTTTTGCCTCCGGCTCTCCCGCTGCATGCTCAATAGGGATGTAAATGCTGCTATGATAATGGCAATAACTAGGTTCATTGGAGCTAGTGATAAACTATGAATTGAATGGATGACCCAAGGGCAGAGTACCTCGTCCCTGTGGCTCACTGATTCAGTGCAAAAGAAAGGCCTGTTTCATTATGGTGGTAAGCAGTGGCTTGTGTGAAAGAATAAGCGGTAGTCGGTAGATTAAAAACACAGTAGATGGGGGGGCAGCTTTGCAAGCCTTTATGGCCATTATGCATTTAGGGCAGTTTTCCCTTGAGTTGAAGTTCAAAGGTTGATAGAATAACATGATTGAATACCCAGTCGAGCATCAAGGTAACGCTAGCAACATCGCTAAAGAGTTGTTTTTTGGACATCTTTGAATGACAATGAATGAAAAGCCCTTCACATTCACTTTTGATTTCCTTAGTAAACATAACGGTAATAGGATGTTGCCATTTCTACTTCTTTGATTCATGCCACTGTCTATTGCAGTGATATAGTTCTGTGATGTTCAATCAAGTAAAACAATAGCTGGATGTAAACAGAAACAGGTAACACCTAAACTAAATTTCTATAGACGGGCTTACCCCAAACAACCCTTCAACTATTAAGCTGTAAATTGCTGTAGTCCATGTCTTCATTCTGTAAACAACATTAATCATATTAACATAAGTAGATTAAGGTGTTTACACTGCATAGCCCTTGCCCGATTATAATCATAATTGCTTTTAAGACTGCAAGTACATTTTCAGCGCAGACGGGTCTTTCGCAATGCCCTTTTGCTTATTGTTTTCTCCTTCTAGTATTAGCTCCTATTAAATGCTTTGCATACACTCCATTAAGCTGCAACACGACATTGCATCTTGCAAAGTTTGAGTAAAGTTGCGGCTTTTAAAAGCTTTCTGTAATTTTGACGGTGCACAATCACATTGCGATTGTAGCACAAGCCAAAATGGGTCCAATTAGTTTGCTTGTTTTGTTATTCACACATCGGCAGAAGTTTAAAAGTTTTAGTCTGGTCATTAAAGTACCTACACTAATGAGGTAGAACAGTGCTGCCGTTAGACAGGAAGAGAAGGCTGTTTAATAGCTTCCATTACAGACTTGGTTAGCTCACTCCATTATCCATGCGAACTCCATCCCATCCTACACCATTTATTCAAAAACAAGGACAGGACAACAATGCAAAGCAAGACCAGGAACATTGATCTTACCCCGCTGGAATCACGACTCTTTGACAATCACCGCGGAGGCAATTCCTCCTCCAGCGATCACATTACAGCCCTATGATGTTCAACTGATGAGGAACATTTCCATTTGTCAAAGTATTTGCAGTGGCCCTACACCGCGCCACACAGTGATGTTAATTACTGTAGTGCTGCAAACATGTCTCTGCACATTTGCATACCGCATGAACTGGTAAACTGCAATTCATTTAGAGCTGGGGGTGTTTATAGACAAAGTTGATGGTTGGTGTGTGTGTGTGTGAGAGTGTGAGGGAGCGAGTGAGAGAGAGACACGGGAATGCTTATTAGAATGGAAAAACTATTTGTCTTTTTCCCCATTTATATCTAAATGCGTATGGGTGCTCAGTGGTGTTTTGGAGGGAAGACAACGTGGTCAACAATGCAACACAACAGCAGGGGTTATACAGTACACAATGCAGGACACAGAGGATTATGTTGTGGAGCCAGTTAACATTGTTGGCAGTTTGTTTTGGCCAGAATTGGAGTTTTGTGCAGAATGAAACACTGTCATTTTTTACATTGAAAATCTCCCTCAGGCCTCGGGGACGCTGGTAGAATATTTAAAATTTGGGAGAAAAGTCAGACCAAGCAGGTCTCTGGATGAAGTGTTTCATCATCAGATCATACATGGAGTTATTTCCACTTCCAGAGCTTGGACATTTTAAGAAACTAGTTTGTGGACTCCTTTCTCTGTGAGGTCTTGTGCATAACTAGTTACACATCGGACAAACCACAACACTGGCACAACCAAATTAGCATATCTATCCTCCTCCATAGTAAGTCACTGAATATTCATTCAAATAGTGCTCATAATGCATTTCCGTTTCGAGGATGTTAAGGCCCGTTACAGGCCACAGCGATGCCAAAAATAACATGAAAACATTTACTCACTGCATTTATTATTAAACTGTGTCCTTTGCACTTTTTTCATGTTGGACTTTCTTTCCTCTCCAGCCTTTGTGCTGAGCTGTGCATTCCCCAAAGAGCCTGCTGGTGGAGAAGTTTCCGTGACACACCTCCACCCCGGCGGAGAAGCCGACTTTCGCTGTTTCACTGGCTACAAGCTGCAAGGCCCCAAAATGCTCGCCTGTCGCAATGCAACTACGCCTTACTGGAGTGGAAAGGAGCCCCGATGTGTGGGTAAGAGAAACAGGTTTTTTTTTTGCCAGACAAGAAGTAGGTCATTAACACTAGAAGCAGTTCAGGGCATCGAGGTAGCCCCTCACTAAACTGCAACAAAAAAAACAAGTCCACAATGTAATTAGGCAAAAATAATAACTTTCATTAAATGCATTTATCCAAATGTCTTCTAAGATAAATCAAAATTTTTCAGAATCCAACAGAAGCAATCTCTACATTTAAAATATGCAAATACAATTAAACTTAAACTTGTGAGATATATTGTGAGCATTCCTCTCCTTAGCTTTCCTCTCAGGTGATTTTGATTAACGGGAGCTTTCACCAGGTTGTCTCCCATCGAGTCAGTTAGTTGCACTCCGAGACCAAATGAGTGTGTTTGCATGTGATTAGCAGCGCGGGGAGCTATTCTTTGGAGACGGGGCAAAAACAAGGCCATTGGACCCGGCTGCCTTAATTAGATCTGCGCTGCATGACTGTCCTTCTCCTGCTGGTAGAGGCTCATCTGCCAGTTCCAACCTTTCTCTGTGCCTGCCTGCAGCTGCTCTGGACCGATAGTGTTACTGCTGCGGTTTTTCGCCTTTCTTTACATCCATATGTCCATCACACACTCTTAGACCCAGGTGAGCCCCCTAGTGTAGTCCGGCCACAATCCACTGGACTTTGACGCAATCTACGCTCAGACAGGGACTTTACTGCAAACCCCCTCCTACCATGGTTGGTGTCATTACCTTTCTCATATTGTCCAACACTCCAACTCTTTGTCTCCTTCCTCTTTTCTCTCACGGTCTTCTCATGCAGCATCCTGTGGGGGAATGATAAAAAATGCCACCTATGGTCGTATCGTCTCTCCTGGTTTCCCTGGCAACTACAGCAACAATTTGACGTGCCACTGGGTCCTGGAGGCCCCTGAAGGCCACCAGCTCCACATTCACTTTGAGAAGGTGGCTCTGGCAGAGGATGATGACAGGTGGTGTATGCACACTGCAAAAAATAAAAAAATAAATCAATAGCACCTTTGAGAGATTGTGTACAAAGCGAATGTTGTGTATGTCTTCAGGTAATGGCACCGAGCTTCAAACTAATTTTCTGAATAACAGTATGCCTGTGGATAGAGGCTATAAATAGCCAAAATCTTTAGGGAGTGACAGATGAATTTGAAGGGACCTTTTATCATTATAATCCTTTAACAGTGTTCCATCAAGCGAAGGAATTGGAGGGACTGCAGAGGGTAGTGACTGGTAGGAAACAGCAATTGCATTACATTTTTCTCCAGCGACTACTGATCCACATGGCTATCGTCACACATGGCCATTCACCTCATTACCGAGTGGTGGAGAATGTTATCACAAAGTTATTACAGCCACAACTGGAACAGCGAGCAGCTCCCGGATAGCTTGGAACTTCGTTTTTAATGCTTCTCTTACCTTTCAAGGCTCACTTACGTCTATTTTAAACTCTCTTCCTCCTGTATGTGTGTGTGTGTGTGTGTTTTCTTGTAGGCTGCTGATTAAGAATGGCAACAACATAGACTCTCCCCCTGTGTACGACTCCTATGAGGTTGAGTATTTGCCCAATGAGGGTGTGCTCAGTACTGGACGTTACCTGTTTATAGAGTTCACCACAGATGGGACAATGACCTCCACCGGTGCAGCAATCAGATACGAAGGCAGGTTTGATCATGCAGCTTGCAGAGCTTCCTAATAGAAAATCGGCACCTCGTCACTTGTGTCAAATACCGTGTGCTTTTTTTGTGTCCGCAGCTTTTGCCAAAGGCATGTGCTATGAGCCCTTTGTCAAGAACGGCAACTTCAGCGGCGGCGACTCCACCTACAGCGTGGGTGCAGTGGTTGAGTTCTCCTGTGACCCTGGCTACACGCTGGAGCAAGGCTCCGTAGTGATTGAGTGCGTGGACGCACAAAACCCACAGTGGAATGAGACCGAGCCGGCTTGCAGGGGTGAGTCAACAAACCTCATCCGCTGGAGTAATTGCGCGATGTGAAATCTATTCAAAAATAATGTGATTCCACTGCAGCAGAATTTAAGAGGCAGATAGATGTGACTGACCTGAGGACCCAAGGCTTTCCTTGTCTGCTTGATCATTGCGGGAGTTAGTGAAGTCTTTTTATCCAAATATTAAAAGACCCCTGGCAGTTAATCGTATCTTCCTAAGCTGCTTTCCTCTGATCCATGATACATTTCCTCTTAAAATTATAACATTGATTTATTTTGATATGTGTGCTTGCAGGGCAGACTTTGTGCTTAAGATTAAAAAGGCATACAATAGTTGGCCTAAGATGAACACTACCACACTGCACCATAATAGCTACCCCTGAGCCCTTCCCATCTCTCTCTCTCTCACACGCTGACCTTACTCTCGCTCTTTGTTGCCTGCATGGTCCTTCTGTCACACAGGGAAATTGAAAAAGCTCTCCTGTAAAGCTAGATATGAGGAAATTTAATTTCTGCTCCTGTGGGTCATGGTCGTCAAGCACTTCAGTGGTAGTATGCGGTTTCACAAGGTTCACGTCAAGGAGGCTGTACACTCCATTTCAGATGCGCTTTATTCAGCATTAAGACCATGTTTCCATTCTTTCACACAGCAGTTTATGTATCAACTTGTAGTTTTTCGTCACCGTGTTACTTGCACACGACAAATTGCGTGATTATATATTTAGTTTGTTATTGTTCATTTGATTGCAATCAACATTTTCTGTGTCTAGAAATCTGTTACAATGCAAACATTTGTTTCTCAGTGTCAACCTGAGGTGTTTGTGCATTGCAGCTGTGTGCAGCGGGGAGATCACCGACTCTGCCGGTGTGGTGCTGTCTCCTAATTGGCCTGAGGCCTACGACAAGGGGCAGGACTGCATCTGGGGTATCCATGTGGAAGAGGACAAGAGGATCATGCTTGACATCCAAGTGTAAGAGACTGCACTCAGGTGTAAGACTAGAAATCACACAGGGAGGTCAGAGGAGGAGGTCAGATTGCCCGCGAGATGTCAAACACTCCATCTCAGGGACATAAACGCATGCACTCAAAGCTTCATTCTCCTCTATGATCTCACTCAGACAGACACACTACGACATGCACATGTGGAAAGTGTTTCTGTGGTTGCAGTCACCAATTAGATTCTTTTTTTTTTTCTTCATCCGCTACATTAAGAATTCTGTGTTGCTTCCAGCTCGCTCTCTGACCAGATTAGCCAGTAAGCCTCCCTGCTCCCACTTCCCTGGTGTGTGTCTCAGAGCTGGCTTTGAAATGAATATGCTCTGGCAGTGAACTACTCTGAGCCACTTATACAGTACAGCCTTCCTAACTGCAATTCAACGCATGCACACAGGCGTTAAAATAGACACAGGCACACTCGTTTCTGCTTCACATCACTCTGAGGGGACATGCGTGCCCCGTCAAAACACACCTAATACAAGTTATTGCTGTTCAATTATCACATTCCTTTCTTTTCTTCATCTTACTCTAAATGTTTCTTTAAAAAACTATCCAAGTGTGAGCATGAGAATCTGCATTTTTGTCTCATCTAATATGCATTTATCCGTTTGCCTTCGTTGTGATCCCAACAATATTTCCACGAGCATGGATCCTGTAGGAAGCACAAAAACTACAACGTAAGAGCAATGTGCGTTTTTCCTGAAGCACTTGCAGACTATAGGGCGCAGAGAGGTTAAAATGAAACCAGCAGGAATACTGCCATCTAAGGCAATAGTTAGCTTTTTGGTCATTGTGGTATCAATGCATGCAAGCATTTGCAGCCTTCAATTTTTTAGGCTTTCCATATGCACCATTCATTCTTAGTATTTTCTGAACAGCTGATGAAATTGCAAGGTGTAATTAATAATGAATGAATGAATTATTTAAATTATTTAATCCAGATATGGGGTATGCATGCTGTGCAAGCAATCCACCACAGTGGTAGACCACCTAGAAAAACTAAATTGAATAGTGAAAATAAAAATGATATTTTGTTTTTTGTATTTCCTAATTACTTTGGGCAGTAAAAAAAAACAAGCTATATGTTTACTACACATATCGTGTTTGTGGACAAGAGCAATGTGCGTTTTTTTTATTTAAAAAAAAGATTAATACATAAAAATAAGCTAATGGGCATATATGGAAAAGTCACGTGCAATCATATTGCAGACCTGCTTCAGACAGACACTGTGTGGTGGAGAAAGTGTTTTTTGGGGGCAGTGGACTTTTCTTTTGAAGAATTCTACAAACCATTGATGAATTGTTAAGACACTGGAAAAGAGCAAGTATTTCCTGTTCACGTCAAAATCGAGAAACTGCCCTTCCCCCAGTGATCAAATGAAGCGGTTATTATTATTGCACTTAAATGTTGCTTTCTTGACTCATGCAAGTATCAGCCTGGATGTACCAGTGATAAAATGTCTTTCACTGAAAACATTAGGGATCATGCTCATCTGATCATTTCAACAAATAGACATAGGGATAACATTAAATGCATCACATTGACAACAGATCATAATTTTGTTTTGCATGCCAACATTCAGTCAGAGTCAGCAGAGGAAGTGTGGATGGATTTTGTAAAGGCTCAGGTGGTAGGCTGCTGCATGGTTACAATCCACATAAAGCCTCAAACATTATCTCTCGGCTTTCAGGAACAGAGATATGAGCCATCAGGCAAATATGATCCACAGATCAAACAGGGAATAATAGCATTAGAGGATACCAATAATACACAATGTCGAAATACCACACAGGAAGTGTATGCGACTCTGCTTGCCTACCTGTTCTTTAGTTGGAGATTAACACTCATGATTAATGTCTGAAAGTCAACCAGTGCACCAAGGGTTAAAATAAAAGATCAGAGGGGATTCTCTCCCCTCCACGCAAAAGTAAACCAGTTTGATTTGAGGTAAACTGATTTTCATTGAGAGAGATCTCTTCTTGGATTGCACCAGTCCAATATTTGTTTTAATCCGAGCCACACGAGGCCGCTCGCTGGAAATGAATGGTGCTGTGGCCAGCTTTAGTTTATCTCAAGGTTGGTCATGCGTGGCCTTCATGGCAGTAGGAACCCACAGCTGTCTGATCCTCGCAGACCCTCCCATTACCCTCATGTCTGATCCGCTCATCTTGAGAATTGCATTCTCAAAGGCTAGTTCAACTACGTGCGTTTTTGTGCGTGTGTGTAAGTGACAAAAGGCTCTTGTGGATGAGAGCTGTCTCATTATAAGGGTGGGCACACACCTTAATGAGAATGTTTTCTGTGTTTTCTGTATTATCATTCATCGCTGTGCCTGTGCTGGCAATTACAGCGGAGCAGTGTGCATAATGAGGACTGATTAATTAATTTAGGCCAAACAGGAGGGCTGGCTCTTTGCTAATTGCCATGGAGCATGGCTCGAGCAAGAGCCGGAGACAAGAGGTTACAGCTGATATCCCCACCTGTGGAACTCAACAAGGTAAAAATGATTCACATGTGGATTTTAGAATTCAGAGGACATTGTTTCTAGAACTGTGTTTCAACACAGTGAGTAACGTCTGTTTTACAGCGGTAATGTTTTTGTCAGTTTACTGAGCAGGATCAGAGCCATTTTTAAATGGGACATACTGGGTTTATAGAGTCCTCTTGTGGAGATTCTAAGCATTACATGCCAATTGCAAGTAAACTTGTGTCTGGGTAGGTGCCCGGGATGTTAATGGTAATTTTTTATTTTATACCATAACCTTTTTTTATGCTGAGCAGAACAAATCAAATGTCAAATACGTGTAGGAATAGAAGTAGAAAGCAATTTCCAGTCTGTTAGAGTTACTGGATATTTGTCGGGTTCTTCAGACTCGACAGGTCAGGGAAGGTGACAGAATGCCTGGAGGCTTGTACAAAACGCAGCTGTCATCCCCTCATCTGCAGAATTGAGCTGGACACATTGGCATGCAGACGAGTTTTCAGAAATTCTCTAAAGAAAAAGTAATTTTTTCAAAATAGACCATTGGAACTTTGTAAACACCTAAGTCACGTCGATGAAGGAGACATTTAAATCGGTTAGGGCAACTCTAAATTATTGCCATTACATCGGTTTGAAATAAGCTTTGTGCATCCTTTCCTGTGAGCACTGACCGTGTTAAAAGCCAGTCTTACACTCTCACACATCATTTTGACTAATAGTAGTTCCAGGCTTACATTAGCATTTGTCATTTAGGATCTGTCCAATCACAGACTAGGACAAGACTCAAGCAGTTGGGCGAGTGATTTATTTTTTCAAATTAAAGTTTATTGATGAGTTGTGCCCATATGTATTGTACTCGCCTGACTGGTTGCCTATTTTCTGCTCTTATAAACAACAAAGCATACAAAAAAGTAAAAAGTGCAGTTACTTTAAAATGGAAGGCAAATATGAACTAAGGAAAATATAAGAAGGAGTAAAACTTTTTCTTTAGAAGATTAGTTATCAGTTTGCAACACAGCACAGGGCATGACTACTTCCCTGTCTGTAGGGAAAACCTTTAGAGGAGCCAGGTGGGATGACATTTGGGTGGAGTGATTGCCAGGTTGCTACAGAGAAGGCAGCTGAAAGAGCTTGTCGTGACTCACCACAGAGTGCTGTTTAAGTCTGGACTGAAGGGATTTCGGCACTCTTTTGTGTTGTCGCCAGCATTTCGAAAAGCAACTCAAGCAGACAGTGGGAAAATTCAAAACCAAGGTTGACATCAGCATTGTATTCGAGTTAGAGCGACTGGGTTTTGTATGTTGAAATAACTTCTGCAGATGTACGTTTGCCTAAGGAGATCTGTCTTGTAATCAGATTTCATCAAATGCAAAAACATGTTTGTGGTACACAGTTGTAAGGAAAGGAGGAATATCAGCAGCAACGCTATTCTGCTCTACCACCATACAAGATTATAGAAACTAGCAACAGAATACGGGTTGTGGTGTTGATAATATACACCTTTATGAGGGAAGGTAGAGTGCATTACAGTACAAATAGATCCATGTGAAAACTCTGTAAATGACTAAACATGTACATGTATTTATTGCAAAATGGAGCAGCGGGGGCTGCAAGTGTGTGTTGAGTTGGATGAAATGCAGACTGGACGTTATCGCACGGTTTGAGATTGCCAACCGACAGTTCCACATCCCTCCTTCTAGGGTAGTGTAAATGCAGGGACACCTTTTGGGAGATACGGTGAAATACAGTGTAATGATAAGGAGGAGAGCCTTGTTAACATGAGCAGCAGGTGGACGATAGAGCATGAATAGAAGTGAAGTGTGAGATGTGGAGGTCGAAAAAGATGCAAACAATTTGGCGGTGGTGTTGCTCTGTGGACTACACCCATGGTTTTTTTCATCGTGGCACCACTACTCCTGATAATTCCATGCAGTCATTAAGTGCATGCAGGCTGCGTCTCATCCATAGAGTATGCCTCAAAAAAAGATGTTACAAATATATAACAAAGAATGTAAGAGTGTGAAAACAGCATTTTTGCACATGTATGTCATTTCTAAATGCACATTTCCAAATACACAAATTGTGCTGATGGCGGTTTGGAAATGGACACTGGCATTGTCATTCCTGTCACTTTCACCACAGCCGCTGATTGTTGGAGAACATGGAGGTGTAAATTGTCCCCATAGCTGTCCAACTAACCAGGGGGAGTAGCTTGTCACTCAGCACCTCATTTCACCGCCATTCATGCAGCTGGCATCTATTATGTGTGTCTGTCAGGAGAAGCTGAAATCCAGTTTTGGCTTTTCCATTTCAGCATCAGCACAATGCACACACACAGAGTGGAATCCAATCATTCTGGTTATGTTCTTGAGTCATAGTTGCCTCCAGGGTGTTGCAATCCTCAACTAGAGGACGATGAATATTCACTTTGTGTGTGTAATTTTGTGTGTGAATTGTTGATTAACACAGATAGTCAACATTAATATGAAGGATTTGTTCGTAATGAAGCTGAAGTGGGTGTATTTTGTTCGCATACTTGTTTCTACTCAGCAGTAATGTAGAAAGTTTGTGGGGGAGGTTGTGAAGCAGTGATTGAGGCGACGTAAACAAGACTCGGGTCATTTGTTTTATTCTATCATAAAACTGTGTCAATCACAGAGGAAGCAGCCCCGTCAAAAGCTGCTAATATTATGTTTGTTCCAACAAGGCAACAGAAGTTAAGTTAATCTGTGCTGTGCATATTAAATCTCATGTTCATCGCTTTAGTCCCATGGGTTCTAATGCTCAAAAAGAGCCTCAATCTCAGCTCACACTTTTCATTATAAGTCTCTGCAACAATGAGTCAGCATAAGTTGCCTACTTGAAGTAAAAGAGAAGAAACCCAAACCAGCTCAATGAATGAATATATAGTGTGTCTGACAAATCAGTGAGCTCACAGGGCAATCAACCTGAACATGGAAACAGAGTTCTTAGAGAAGTCATTCGAAAGCCCACACAAAAACATAATTTTGACATCTCTTCTTCACACTTTAGTCCAATTGCTACCAACTTTTCTGTGGATCTTTATTGGACCAAGCTTAGCAAAATCTATCAAAAGCTCTTGGATATCTTAGTTAATCTATTGACCAATGAACTTCAAAAGGGCGAGGCTAAGCACATAAATAGAACAAACCACAACAACAAAAACAACTATGCCAATCTTCACTAAACTTGCAGGATATGTCCACAGAAGTACCTGAAGTGTACCCTGAAAGCTTCATTCAAATCGACCACTAGTGGGCGCAACAAATACAAAGAAATGGGCGTGGCATAACAAATAAGACAATAAATCTGAAATTGTTTGTCCAATCATTACAAAACTTTGAGGATATGTTTTATACCAATGTTTAACCACGGGTATAAAACTATTTTTTAATCAGTCAATAGGGTGCACAACCACATCCAAATATGTGCATAAGCCTGGTGCAAATTTGGCCATAAATCACTGACAGTTTGTCCAATCACCAAACTTACTGGATATTTTTACTTAAGCTTATCAAACATGTCCTCAAAATGTTTCCTGAGAAATATGTGTGGCGGGACTTTGAGTGTGCAATTATTGAAAAGCACAATACAGTGTCATGATGAAACCAGAATTCAAACCAGTGACTTTGCTCAGCTTTGTGCAGCCTGAAACCCACTTGCCTGTGGCTTTGATTTTGGCAACTGAGCTTCTTACTTCTGTTGAGCAAAAAAGGGTTTCAGCCTGGAATGTATTTCCATATTGATTTAAAGGTTATTTCGAACATCCTTTCTTTGTTTATTCAAACTTAAATACTGCACTGGATGTGTTACTGGGATGTATTTTTGTGTTCTCCTGCTGACTTATTGCTTAAATTGAAATGTATGCATTGCATGCATGTTTTTTAAAATATATATCTACTTTCTACTGATCTTTACTTCACATGTTTTTCTATTTTGAGTTGTGCTCGTTCCTAAGATGAGGATATTTGAAGGCTTTTCTTTGGCCTTTCTGTGGACTCCATTTCTACGTTCCTGATTGCCCTGTGATCTCACTAATTTGAGTCACCTGTATGCCTCTCTATCACTCTCAGGTGCTGTGCGATTAGTATTATTTTTTTAATTCCCAACAAGGGAACCTATGCTTTTCACCTGCAAGCTTGCTAGAAGTGCATATCCATGCAGTTCTGCCATCTGAGAATAAAAACATTTTCTTGAACACATTTATTTATGTAGCAAATATTTTGACTTTAAATTTGACCTAAAGTACATCAACTTCCAGCTCATATTTTTTGAGTTAAAGTAAATCAACGATAAAGAGCAGTAAAGACAGGGTAAGAGACAATGACACATGATTTGAGAACAAGGTGTGATCACAGTGGAGCTGGCAATATGATTTTTAGGCATTGCAATTTGCATTGATGCAAAATTGTGCGAAGGAATTGAGAAAAGCTGTGGGGATTGTTATCGGTTACAATTTTTGGGAAAACGCCGCTTTCCTGAAAACAGTTTGATTGCTTGCTGGAGAGCTCATGCAGTGGGCGGGTGATTCATGGCTACAAAAGCATGACTTCTACCTATGACGTGCATGAAGAATGGCACTGTGCCATTAATATTGTTAAATTCTGTTAAACACAGCTTGGGAATGTAACACAAAACAACCATACAGCCGATCTGCACTGCTGATTTGACTCCCGCCTTAAGACACATAAAGAGCAACTAGTTCCCCCTGCTTATTATATCAGCATGGGAACTACACGTTCTCCATCCCCCGTGTGTGTGAATAAATGTCAGGCTTTGCTGATGTTCCATAAAAGGGGCAAGGACATCCGAATCTACAAAGGGAAAAGGTTAATGCATTCTTAAGATAATGACAGCAGAGATTCTCTCCAACTGTGGCTCAGCTGCCTCATATTCAATTTTATATGTGAATTATAGCTAACATTTAGATGTTGAGATTGTTTTTTTGGATTATTTACTCATCCGAGACCTTTAGTCCTCATTATGTTTCTATAATCCTGGTTGTCATGCATTGCATCTCTTTTTTTTGTAAGCAAAAGGATAATATTTTATCATGCCCATATATTTGCAGATATGCAATTTAGTACATATTCATGAGACCGATGTGGGGGACGGAGAGACATACATCATGAATAATTTAGTGTTTACTTCACATCAGATCCATCCAATATAAACAGAATTAATATTTTCCAAGTACTGCTGACGCAGTCGTCTTATGCCATCAGCAATGCTTTCATCAGCTGAAGAAGATAGCAGTCACTTAACTGTTTAATGCTTTGTGCAAAATGCACAGCAAACATGCCACACAACCACAGACATGGGGCGTTGTGTATGAAAACCTTCATCTATATAACTAGGAAGAAATTGAACCACTTTGTTATGTCTCTTCTAGTCTCCACGTTGGTAAGAATGATCTGCTGACCTTCTATGATGGTGATGACCTGACGGCTAACATCCTGGGCCAATACAGTGGCACACGGCCACACTTTAAGCTCTACACCTCCATGGCTGATGTCACTATTCAATTTCAGTCCGATCCTGCCACCAACATCTACGGATACAACAACGGCTTTGTGGTCCACTTCTTTGGTAAGATTTGACCCAACATTGTTTTGTCCTCTGGTTACTTGCAGTACATAGCTTTCTGTTGGAATCAAACTTTGTGTAAAATTGGGACTGCAAGACAAACAAGAAAATAAAAACAATTGTACTAAGCGTGCAATGTAAAATGTACGCATTCCTATAACCTAGCAGGTTACCAATTACAAAAAAGTCTATTTGTTTCTCTTTCTCTTTGCCTCTTTCTCTTGATGTGCCTCTGTCTGTCTTCTGGCTTATCCCAGGTGCAGAGGATGAGATAACAACAAACACAGACACAAAATAATAGGGTGCACTTCAACATCAGCTGTTTTTGCCCAGTGCTTTGTGTTCTTGGCCCTGTACGCTGCAGTTAGGGAGGCGCAGATTGACTGCTGCCAAACCGCATGCTGTGTTCCTCCCAGCAAACATCACAAGCCTCTATTTACATTGTTCTCCCAAACTGCTGCTGTTTAGTGCGCACAGAACGGACAATTTTGCAGTCATAGTCAATCCCTGCCGCGATAGGTTATTATATATCAATGCAAGGATTTCTTCAAGGAATGTCGCTTTGTGTCCAAATACCAAATACAGAATGATCATTACACAAGAAAATGTATAGAATTTCTGCCTACCCGATGCCAGTCTTTTCTCAATGTATCTGCATAAATAGGTAGGATGTCTGTAATTTTCCCATTCTATCTCTCCTATCTTCTATCAACACAACTGCTCCAACGTCAACAGAGGTGCCGAGGAACGACACCTGCTCGGAGCTGCCAGAGATCACCAACGGCTGGAAGAGCACGTCTCACCCCGACCTCATCCACGGCACCGTCATCACCTACCAGTGCTACCCTGGATTTGAGCTGGTGGGCTCTGAGATCCTCATGTGCCAGTGGGATCTCACTTGGAGCGGCGATGTGCCGAAATGTCAGGAAGGTGAGAGGAAGGCACACAAATCCTGGTGTTTTCACAATTTGTTCAGCGAGTGAGAGGAAGACATCGGCAGTCATAAAGCTTTCTCTCAGAATACTTTGTCTTAGCGAGCAGACAAGAATACGTGATAAAACTCAAATTGTATTGGTTTAGTCTACACGTCACGCTGACATCTAGAAATCTGAAGTTGCTCTCAAAATGGTGTGTATCAAATGTTACAAATGAAAAATAAGATTTACAAATGCAATCATTCCTGCTTAATTAATCTCAATCTTCTCACAAATACCAAGCAATTTGAACACATGTAAAACAATGCACGCATCGCAACCTGAATGAATATTAATATATGTACAGATATTTTACTTCACAGATCTGATCATTTTTGCCTGCGAAAAGCTTCCTGTTTATACAAATGTCTAAAACTATTAGACATTCTTTTATATTTATTTACAGATTGTAAAATGACGTGCCACCACCTGGTGGTCATGTGTTAAATTGCATGCCGGCACCACAGACACAATGCCAATGGAAAGTCAGTTCGGACCCCATGGTGGACACATGTGTGAAACGCATTAAATGCATCCACATGAATATGCAATGCTCAAAGCCAGTATACATATTGAAAAAGACTTATTTACAGTGGACACGAATGGATGGGGATAAATCAAACAAACAGGACTTTCATCTAGGAGACTGTTTGTGTCCCCAGAGTGATGTTTAGTTACTGAAGTTACGTGTGCGACATGTTAATGTATTTTGCTCAGTTTACATACCTAAATAAGTGGTCCCCCCCCCCCCCAAACGTTAAGTTGTTTCTATATCGGTGGCACGTTGTTTTACACATAATGCACTGCTAGTGGACAACATCTGAGCTTGCTCACTTCTAAATATATTGAAATCAAACAATTTCTCATGTGTATTGGACATCTTTCCACGACGTCCATAACCTACCATAAGTATGCATGTTAAGGTTGCAATTTCAAAAGCTTTACTACCTCCCTTTCATGTGCATTTATGTTCAAGTCCAATGAGAGATTGGTTGGAAAAAAAGAATGATGGCAGTTAAGCACTGATGTCCATTCTCTCATCAATGTTTTCTTTAATGTGAACATATTGAATTTCCACTGAATATATCCTGCTGATGAGTTCAGCAAATTACCCTTTGTTAAAACCTTTCTTACAAGTTCAGAATGTGTTTTTGTTTGTCAATCGAAACTGCCTCGTCAGTCAGTCCTCTTGAGTAGACAGCAGCTGCTCTCCTGGCAGGTTCATCGTTAAGACAGATTGGTCTCAGCTGGGTTGGACAAGGTTTTAAAAGGCTGCCACACCCAACTCCTGTGTTGTTTCCAGAGGGTGAACACCTTCAGTTCACCCTGTTTCTAACTAAATTAATAACCAGTATTTGATCCCTCCCTGGTCTTTTTATTTGCCCTTCTAGTGCTCTGCTATTCATAATATTCTCATAACGTTTGGTTTGTTTCCTTCTAATGTGGCACAATATCTTTTAACACAGCATATTGGTTCATAGCTGTCATTTAACATCTGTTGAGTAATTGAGATATCCTCATCCACACCACATAAGTGATCAACAACAAAAACCATGCAAACCATGGCCAGTTCACTCAACAGATTAGTTATTGGAGATTTGGGAATTGCACCTGAAAAGGCACCATCAACAATCACTTATGAACTGGTTCCCTGAACACTACTTGAGGAAATGTCCTCAACAAGGGACCTAGATAACTGAAGCCCAGACTAGTCTTTTTGAGTGCTCTCTTGGGTTGGGATCTGGTGACTGATGGAGACGGCATGTGGTTCATGATTTCTTTACTGAAACACTAAGTGATCAAATCTTGTCTTGGATGGATAAGGTTTGGTAACTTAAAAAAAGTTGTGAACAATCTGCCCTCATGGTCAAATAAGGACACGGTCGTTTCCTGCTGTGATGTGTGACATGATATTTAAAAACCGAAGTAGAGGGAGGGTTGTGTCCCACAATGAATACAAACATGCATACCGAAAACCAACATGTTTTGTAACAATAGCTCAGGAAGATAACTGGCAACCCAAGAAATAATCAGGGATAAACACCCTGCGGACAAACACCTCCGTCCTTCAGAACTGCTTTTGCAAATGTGCACCATATTTTCCTCTCAAGCCATTGTTTTTTTTTTGGAGGGGAGCTTAAAGAAACACTTCTACTACTACTACTACTACTACCACCAGTGATAACAAATATTCATTTGTTTTTGCGATGCACCAGTTTTGACGTGCCAGGACCCAGGAAATGTGGAGCACAGTCACAAGGTGATCGCAGGCAACCGTTTCATCGTTGGATCGACGGTACAGTTTATCTGTAATAAAGGCTACATCATGTCTGGCAGCAGCCTCCTCACCTGCTACAACCGAGATTCAGCCACACCCAAGTGGAACGAGAGGCTGCCCAAGTGTGCCCGTAAGTCTAATGAGCCAAAAACACACACAGGCATGGAGGCAAACACACTTAACACTGACACTTTGAGTGCTTTGAATATAGGATATAAACATGTTAATTTTGTGCTACTCCTGTTTCTTTGGTGACAAATCCCAACGAATCCACCTATAATGAGTTGTGTATTCTTTGCCAAAGGTCTTTTATTAAAAGTTCAACAAAATAAATTGTCAATCTTGCCTTTCTTGTCTCGGTTGATGTGCATGTTGCCTTTTTATACGTGTTCATATTTAGTGTCAGTGTTTCTACAGTTGGAAAAAGATGCATTGCAATATTTTTGTGACGTGAGATATTCCCGCCTCTCAGCTGAAAAGTACGAGCCATGCAGGAACCCCGGTGCTGCCTCCACCAGTGTGCAGAGCTCTGAAAAGGCCTTTTACCAAGCCAGAGAGATGCTCAGCTTCTCCTGCCACTCAGGCTACGAGCTGCACGGTGACGCCACCATCTACTGCATCCCCGGACACCCGTCACAGTGGAATAGCACTCCACCTGCCTGCAGAGGTAAACCATGCACTCTGTGTAGCAAACCTTTTTTGTTTTTTTTACATTTGTCACATTTTGAAGCTCAAGTGCTATTGATTTGTGTTGCTGATGAATGAATGCAAGGACTTACTTTGTATGTAAGTGTAACATTATGCACTGTGCTCATGGTGCAAATATTGACTAAACTGCAATTGTGTCTTTTTTTTTAGCATCCTCAACCCAATATGAGAACGAACGCAGGCTAGATGGTGAGTCATGTTTTGAAACACTGCAGTGTCATTGTGCTGGTTTCTATTCGTGCCGCGCTGGCGACAGCATGGCCGGAGGCATTATGTGTTCAGACTCTCTGGTCAAGGTCACTGTGTCCTCACATCCGTCCCATTCTCAAGCGATATCTCACAAACACCTAGAGGGAATTTCTTCACATTTGGTACAAACATTGTGTATTCCACAGAAATAATACCTGTTGTTGTTTTTTCCCCACTTCTAGTTGTAAATATGGATTATAGCATGGAGGGAACCAATATTGCCCTTGCAGTTTTTATTCCGACCGCAATCATTTTGGTGGTTGTTCTGGGGATTTATGTCTACTTTGCAAAGTAAGTCGTGACTTTAAAAAAACCCAGTTTATTTCATTTGAAATCAAATGAGCCTTCACAGGATGTTCCCTGTTTCTCTACTCGTAACTTAGACTCCAAGGGAAGACCATCAGAATGCCGACGTCCTCGCCACCGTATGACAACATGACGGAAGAGTCGGCTTTCGACAACCCGATATACGAGAGCGGAGTAAGTACAGATGTCATGAGCATGCAAGACGTGGATTCACAGAACACCAGTGTTCTGTCCTGATCCACTCCCATCTGGCTGCCATCCTATCGTCATCCCATGGTTCACCAGCAGAGGGCGCCCTCCGCCTCATCTTTCATCACCATGTCAATCATCACCGAGAGCAAGCCACATAGCTGATGTTTCTGCTGAAAATAGAAAGCAAGGACACTTTTCCTCACCTCACTCTGTGATAATTTTTCATCTTGGATTCCCATACTTCATTAACTTTGGTCCTGCAGTACATCATTCACATTGTGATGCGTCATCTCCTACCCTTGTCATATAAATGTAATATGTTCTATCCGTCGGTCACACCTTTTGTGTAACTGCACATTTGCTAGTCTGTACAATTTAAAAATCAGTATTACAGTATGCCACATGTTTCTGTGTGAACAGTGAATATGTGGATGTACGTTGTCTCTTGTTCTTCTTTATATACTGATCTCAAGTGCATCCTCTCCTCTTTTCTTCCCTGCTCCCTCAGCACTGGCAGTCTCATTCTAGATACTAAGTGTCAATCTGTCCACTTTGGCCGTACTGCTGACGAACTATGAGGCGAGATCTCCTCCTGGTGCAGAGAGCACATCTCACTCACCGTCACCTGACCCTTTTCTGTTTTGGCTACACCTCCCCAACCTGCCACACATTCTGATCAGCTGGTTGGTCGCTCTGCTCTTCTATTAACACTGGCTGCCTAACACCACGTCAGTATTTGCAGACCACTCTCACTATACAGAACCACTGGTTGGTGACAATTTAAAATGCGTTGGTGACGCAGTCATGAGACATTTGGCCTCTTGACATACAATCATGTTTGTTTGTTTTTACAACTCAAAGATTGCTTAAAGATTTGCAAGAATTCTTACATGAATGAAAACTCTCTACCTTAAATATAAAAACAACAACTTTGACCCAACTTTCAGCTTCTAACTTGTTTTTCACTTCAACCCGCCCCTCTTCTGCCTTGCATCTGTCATTCTATCATTTCAGTAAGGATAATGTTGTGCTGTCTTGGTTCATTAACTATTGTATATGTGTGATTGTGACATCTATGCAACATGCATACTGGTCATATTTAGTTTTGTGTCCTTAAAGTATAGCAGCAGCACTTCATTTTGGGGTATTATTGTGTTATTATTTGTTTATTTCTTAAGAAAAGACTGATGTTGCCAACAGATAATAATTTGGAAAAATAATTGTGTTCAATTGATACTTATTGATAATAAATGTTTATGGGAATTAATAGTCCACTGTAAACAATATCTCTTCTCATGACGTCATCATTTCTGTTTTTGTCATGCTCATACCAAATTGTGTATGTTTCCACATTTTAGGTTTATTAAAATGTGCAAAACATTACTGATGAACGGTATTCTTATGTAGTAAATCATCATTATGCCAGCACTATAGAGATTTGTTATCTTAACTCAAACATTTTCAACATATCAGACAAGAGTTCGTATGTTTTTATTGTGCATCACAAATTGTACAATCCTCTTATCACTATAATTCTTTACAGGACAAATTAAAAAAATGAAGGTGTCCATTTAGAGACCTTTAATGCAAGAATTGCTAAAGCTTTGCCTTTTGAGACCCTCTCTACACTGCTCATCATTTCCCTCCATTCTTTTTTGTTCCCAATTGATTTCTTTCCATTTCCCCTTTGTGTGGATTACTGTAAATATGTCTTTCTGTCCACGGTCAGAATCTGTGGATCACCATGGTGATATTTTTATAAAGTAAAATGGTGATGACCGTTGGTGATTGTATGTTTCTAAGTACTTTTTTTTGATGCCCTAATCCAGTAGCAATTAAAGACTGAGGGGAAACAATGCTTTGATTGCCAAGATCTGTTGGATACAAATTCCCCATCAACCATCACTCTTTGGAAACTTTCCATCATTCCTTTAATTTTTATTTGTGTGTACGGGTCTGCTCTTTGTAAATAAACTGCCTGTCCAATAAGAGTGCCTCACGACTGACTATAACCTGAGAAGTATCACGTGTGAACATGTTCGTAAAACTAAATCTTTTGTTTTGTCTATTTTGTATTTGTGGGCCTGATATTATTAGTACTTCACACTGCGTTGAGGCTTTTCTGTCCTACAGTTTCTCTTCTGGAAACAAAAAACAAATGACGGATATACTTTCCTACGAGCTGATGTGTGGTGTCAACTGGATATAGCATCGGAGGATTTCTCACATACTCTTAACGCATTGTTTTCATGTGGGACTCATCAGCGACGCATCATTTTGTTCTTATGTCACACTGTAAAGTCTGCCTCAAAGGAAAAATAGTGATTTGTTCATTTGTATATGTTCCAAAATGTGGTTGCGCCTCAGCATCATCAGACCCCGAGATAAAAACCCAGTGATAATGTGATTTACAATACGGACTGATGCAGGCTGTTGAGTCAAATATCGGATTGATTCCTGTGTTGCAATTGAAATTTCACTGTGCAAAATGAATCCTTATGAAACAGATGGGTCTTTACCTGGGGTCGCAAGCGGATCCATATATGCTTGGGTTAAATCTGTATATCCTTTATACTCTATAACAAATCATTTTCCACATCACAGCTGGTGCAACCACACCCAGGAAACCAAATCACCTTCAAATATCTATGTCCTCTGATTGATAATAAAATAAATTGTTGCTTAAAGTATTGTCGTCGACTCATTACTGAGTAATTCATTAATAACTTATTTTTTCACCCGTGTTGGTTAAAAAACATACAACAGACTCATTGAAACTTGCCTCAGACAATAAGATGCTCCCAAATGTAAATAGCATTTGCATGAATTGTTTTCACAGGTAAGTGCTTGATCAATGATCAGCCAAATATTCACATCCACTTCATTTCTAGTAGATGTAGCCCGAAGTCACATGAGACATTTTGACAGGCCACAGGAGGGAAATCAAAGGTTTGAATCATAAAAACAATGATGGTTGAACTCCTTTTCAGCTGCTTTGGTCTCAGGGTTTTGTTGTGCCTGCTGGCTCCTGTCACACTTGTCATGGCTTACCGGAACACCTGAATAGTTAAGAGTAACATCTGTGCTTGATAAGTGAAATTATCTTCTGTGAAGAAGGCCTATCTGATCTGAATCATTATACTGTACACCTCAAATACTCAGGACATGATTTTGGCCTCGTCAAGCATTAGAGGCAGCAGCAATACACATCAGCACCATGAAGCTTTTCTCAGTTGATGTCAGTTATTCTGCTGTTAATATGAGAGGGGGCACCACATTAAAGTTGCCATACAGCCCTTGACCTCTAGATGGCAGCAGGACAACAAGTATGTGAGGTTCATTATGCTCAAGCCTTTGTTATTCTAATAGTTCCCATTCAATTAACAGGGCATACAATTAATCACTGCCCAGGTTTGTTTTTGAAAGGCAAAATTCACACCCATTCATGGGACAACAGGGTCCCATGGGACAAGAGTCAGCCCCAAGCTGTATTTTTATTTTAATTTTAAATAATGAGAGAATTACAAAGAATTTGTATCATTTGAGTAAGTCCATTGAATGTACAGTAGACCAAGTATATTAGCAGTCAACAACAAGCTGCTTTAACATGCAAAGAGAAACCAGCTGCTTAAAGTTAAATATGTAAACCTGGAGAGGCTCACTCCATCCTGACAGATTCACCAGAGACTCTGGCCCTTTGGATGAATTTGCATTATGGTCGAACATATCTCATAAAATCATTGATTATATGAAGTGCAGCCACAAGGTTTTTGTTTTTGTGCCTTTTGTTTATGTGGGAGCTTTGTGTCTGTTTCAATAAAACTGTCTCTTTGGAAACAATGAATCAATAAGGTTACAATGATTTTATTTGTCATCGTACGACAGGGTTACACGACAACATTTAGATTGTAGTCCCAATTTGATACACGGGAAAGAAAACAAACGACAGCAAAAAACTATATTCTATATGGAGGATGAATTGAGGTGTCTCACAGTCAGAGAAAAGAAGCTGTTTTGAAGTCTGGTGGTTCGGCAGCTGATACTTCCGTATCTCTCTCCAGGCGGCAGCAGGGTGAACAGGTTGAGGCTCGGTGGGTTTTGTCTTTTATTATCATTTGAGATCTTTGCAGGCTCGTCTTCTCACCAATACCACTGATGAGCAGTAATAATAATAATGACTTTATTACAGTAGATGGGTGCCAATGATGTTCTGGGTGGTTTTAATGACCCGCTGTATAGAGACACAATAACATAGCTATAAAACAAAATACTACAACATAACATATTCATATCATTGTATTGTGAGATGATGCTGATTGAATAACTATTTATACAGCAACTTTTAAAACCAAGTTATCAAGTGGTTTACAAGAAACCAAAACATAAGATATAAAATAATTGAGAGATGAAGCATGATGATTAAAAACCCCAACTACCCATTTCCCCAATTTACATATCGTACGGTAATTCTCTACTGTATGGTAATGTGCATCTACAATTTATCATTTATAGTCTTAGACTTCCTTCTATTTATGTTATTTTTTCTCCTTATGATCCACTTAAATCATTCACTACATCATATAAAACAAAGATTCATTCTGAACAATTAAACCACCTTTGGACATTTCAAGTGTCAGATCTTTGTATCTGGTCAATTGAACACATTGTCCAAAGTGAACTCTAATGGAAGTTGAACCTGTAAATGTGTTGAACATCAGTGCAGGAAACATCCCGGATATGTTGACATATGTAGGGCAGGCCAAACCTTCTGAAATCTATATGCAGATTCATTCTCCGGACAAATGTCTTTGAGGGAACTTTCTGATAAGGTTACAGATAACAGAGAGCATTCTTCATTTCTTACATGTGTGTGATATTTGCTAGGACGGATAATAAGATGGACACGGGTGCTGTTTCTCTAAAGGACTTTTTTATGAGCCCTTTGACCCTCCCACAATAAATAATATGAGTCACTGCACACAGATGCCCTGGTACCCACTGAGCCTTTAGGTCACGTGCCCTCTAGGACCAATCTAATCAACCATCAGAAATCAGAGCTGCTACGTGAAGAGCAACGGAAACGGGTCTACCCGACAGGAGGACTTCACTAACCTGTCCCTGGACCGGGTGCCTGGAGGTTCAGTCCAGCAGATGGTCCAGGATTACCTGATGGTAAGATCCACCTGTCCTCCTCCAATGACACCACCACATGAAGAGACACTCACACTCTGTCCATGTTTGTTATATATATATATATATATATATATAATGTTTTCATCCTCTCCTTCTGTTCACTCCACCTGTCTCCTCTCCTTCCTGTTCACTTCACTCCGTCTCTGCAGCTGGAGAAGCTGAAGGATCCAGTTGAGCTCCTCAGGGAGCTGTTGGTGACCTCCAACCAGGTAAGAATGAACTCACCTGAGATCAAACACAAAGGGCATTTGGTCTGTGCACAGCTGTTTAGTGAAAGTGTTGCTAACCGTCGTTGTTCTTTCTCAGGCTGAGGCTTGTTACAGTCTGGTGAGCGTCAGTCATCTAGGCTCCAGAGGGAACAGTGGTAAGATGATCACACTCTGAACGTCACATTGGGTCGTCCTCCCTCAGGTTTTCAGACACATTGTAGATGCATAACTGACGCCTGATTTGACGCTGATGTTCCTGCTGTTAGGACACTACGTGAGTGAGGGGATGCACCCAGAGGTTGCACCCCTTAATATACTTGATTTATTAGAAGATTATAATAAAACATATCTATACATCCACCCCAATAACAATTGACACTAACCAATGTGTTCAGACTAAAACAATTACAACTCTAAGTTACAAAATAAATCTCTGTTACTTTAACATTTTTAAAGGTGCACTTGACAGCAACTCATATTTGTAGAATGATAATGTTCAAAATGTTTGAAATACAGGACTAACATGTATTATAATAATTCCATGGATTCAGTGATTTTGATGTAAAATGTACTTTATGATATTATTAATGTTAAGAGGATCTGTGTTGGATCCTGTCCAGGCCAGAAGGGGGCGGTAGTGGAGCGGCTGATGTCACCCACTCTAACCTCCAGCTGTTCTGCTTTAGGCAAACATGTCACACTTAAGTCCTTATAAGCCTCACAAATGTCCCTTCTGATTCAAAAGTGATACTTTAAAACATAGATATTTTGTCCTTTTCCACATTTAGGCAATACAACTAAGTTGTTTTTCTTTTTCTGGCTCAAAGCCCAAAAGCTCTCTCATTCACTGTTATGTTATTTACAGTTATTTCGCATCTGAAAGTCTGTGACACATTCCCCTGCACCTCAGACAACAATATGTTGGTTGTTATATCTTCTCCTAAAGCCTTCTAACCAACATGTTTCAGCTCTATACTCATCTATACTATTCAGGTTCTTTGGACTTTATTTGGCCAAGACTAATATTTAAAGGCAGTTTAATATTTTATTGTCATCAACACTAAAAAAAACATGTTTATAAAAATAATTGATGTGGATTAGTTCGGTAGACCCATCATACTTATGCCTTCAACACAGAAGCAGATCCACTCTGCTCAGTTTCTGGAGATTCTCCACGTGAAGTTGCTTTGCTTTCCTAAAACTGGTAAAAGTAATGAGTCTCTGGGAAATGCATATTTTTCTTCCCACTGTACACAAATAGGAACTTCCACCAAAAACATCAGCTCTGCTTTTTTGCAAAGGTTGTTTTATTTTACAGTTTGTGGGTTGGTAGGGACTCCAGATACATAAATGTATGTGCAAAAGCCTGAAAAAGTAAATGCATCATGGTATGTCCCCTTCAATGATGCATTGCATACTTACTCTTGTAAATGAAAATGTTTAAATCGAGGAGACTGGTGTCCGTGTCCCCAGAGTGATGTTTAATTACTGAAGTTACGTTTGTGACATGTTCTTGTATGTTACTTAGTTTACATACTAAAGCCCAATCATGATGTTTTGTCTGAACCTAAGTAAGTGTTTTTTCCTAAACGTTAAGTTGATTCTATGTCAGTGGCATGTTATTTTACACATAAGTGCCACCACCACATAATGTGCTGCTAGTGGAAAACATCTGAGCTTGCTCATTTCTAAATATATTGAAATCAAACCACTTCTCATGTGTATTGGACACTTTCACAGCTGCTAGATTGGGGTAAAAGTCCTCAGGAAGTCCCTTGACATCTTGATCAGTGACCTACCATGAGTATGCACACACAGGTTGCAATTTCAAATGCTTTACTACCTCCCTTTCATGTGCATTTATTTTTAAGTCAAATGAAAGATTATGGGATTGGAAATAAATAATGCATGACACTGTGGAAATCAGTGTCTTTAATTTCCATCTGATGGCAGTTAAGCACTGAAGTCCATTCTCTCATTTATCTCATCTTGAATGTGTGCATTTTTTATTTCCATTGAATATAACCTGTTGATAAGTTCAGCAAATTATCCAAGAAACCTTTGTTACAAGTTCAGAATGTGGTTTTGTTTGTTAATCAAAACTGCCTCATCAGTCAGTCCTCTTGAGTAGACAGCAGCTGCTCTCCTGGCAGGTTCATCGTTAAGACAGATTGGTCTCAGCTGGGTTGGACAAGGTTTTAAAAGGCTGCCACACCCAACTCCTGTGTTGTTTCCAGAGGGTGAACACCTTCAGTTCACCCTGTTTCTAACTAAATTAATAACCA